GAAGTAGTTAGTGTCGTAATCAAAGGCTATTAAATCAGTCACTCTATAACTAAAACCTAATTGAATTAATAAAGGAGCCTGCTTTTATTGATTCATTATTTTGTATTTATCGCTTTAAAAATTCATCTAAGTAAGTCCTGAAACAAGACATTTAAATCCATCTACAAGCAATCGCCTCAGAATTGTAGTCATTTTTGTCGATCGCAATAGATTTTGGAGCAACGGGAACATATTAGACATGGAGCACCATTGGTGGCTTGATTGGGTCTATAGTTGATCTATGCCAAGAACGAGTTTTATTGCACGGCTTGGTACTGCTATATCGGAGTGGACAACAATTGCACCGAGTTGTATGTCAATTTAGCATTAAAGGAATGAATTTCACTTTTTAAAAAAAATCAAAACAAAAAATATAGAAATATATAAAGTACATCAAAACAATTAAATTAGCGTCAAAACCGCCCCGTACCTTTAAAGATCCTTAATTCTTTTCTAGTTATAGTTAGCGAGGTCAACCATATTGCCCAAATTGCAACTATTAAAGGGTTGTTCGTACATAGCACAACTAAGCTCCATAATATGAATGAATGGTTCAACTTATTCTAAAATGAAAAGGGACGATGAAAAGGGGAAAAACAAAAACAGAGATTCCTAAGGCTCGTGCTCACCTGAGCTTTTGACAAGGCAAACAAGCAAGGCGTTGGTTTTGAAGTGAAAAGTCTACACATGAACTTTTGCATATTCCTTTCAGCTTTTCCAGGTTTTCTGCCAGGGTTCGATCTCGTGGTGGGACAATGTTCATCACCACTGACTGTTTTATTAGGTATTAATTAATTGCTGAAAAGGATGCATGATTTGACTCCATGTTTGGTTAAAGGAGTTGTATGCAAATTTAAATATATATGGGTTGGTTTCACCCCTAACTTGTCATATTCATATATTTCTCCATGTACCGATCGATGCAAAAAGGACCTGTACAGTGTAGTTAGCAGGAATCTGGATGCGTTCCTTGTACTACCTAATGTGAATTCCTCCTATACTATGTAAATAGTGATGAATCTTGGCACAACTCCAACGTCCTCATTTGTTCGTCTTCTTTTGTAACGTCATAACAAAATTGACGCCTCATTGATTTGGCATTTTAGCCCTCTAAACTAGGGACAGAAAAAGATTGTAACGACAAAAGCTCGTTTATTTTGGTTGATTAATACTAGTGGATGAATTCTTTTCAAAGCTTTCAGAATATTTCACATTTCTTTTTGGGTTATTTTATGTTAACTTTCCAGAAAAAATAATGCCACCCACAAGAAAGAAAACTAGTAGGCTGATATAAGATGGTGCGTCGGCATATGTGAGTGTCTGTTTTAAAAAAGTGCATGTGTAAGTATGTGAGAGAGAAAGAGAGAGAGTTATACTTAAAGAGGATTTTCTTTAGACACCTTACCCCTACTATTTGGCCTGGTCCTCCTTAATTCTGAGGGCCAATGTACTCAATGGCACCACCAAAAACAGCTTCCATTCTCAGGATATTACTTTGTACCATAATAACAAATAGTTTTGAATTCAATCTTAATTTAAATTAAATATGATCATAATTCATAAAAAAAAAAAAAAAAAAGTTATTTTGGGTACCATAGTCTAATCCCATTATTATTGCTATAAATGAGGTAGGATTAATAAATAAGCCTGAAAGGCAGCCACAATCCAGCCCAAGGCATCAAATGAGATGAGATTCACTGCAAAAGACAGAAAGTAGTTGAATGGTGGTAGAGTTGTCTTCTTCGTCAAAGGTAGTGTTGTCCAACCTCTTGTAGCTTATCTCAACTTCAATCATAACCATTTTTATAACCCCTTGAATCAAATTTCAGTAAAATATTACTACTTACTCCATGAAATTTGAACATCTCCCAATGCTAGCTACTAGAGAAGCTATTCCTATTGGCCTGGAAGAAATATTATAATGTGGGATACAACCAAAAATTGGATAAAAACATTGGCTTTTTAGCATACATGACAAATAAGCTAAGTTTGCCCACTGGTCAAGGCATAATACGACAATTGTGTTCCATATGAACGAGAAAAAAATTAAGCTCCAATTTGTATATTAGTGTGAGGAAGTAAGCTGTTCGTTGTCCCTTTGTGGACATTCGACAAAATTAGAACAATACAGAGAAGAGTAGCATGGTCTCTGCTCAAAGATGACACGCATAAATCGAGAAATGATAAGTTGTTCATCAGCTTAGATTGCATCAATGAGTTAATATCTAATATCGAATGATCAATATCTTTTATTTGTCAATTAATAATTGACTGATTTTTAGATTATTTTTCTTTGCGTGCTGCAAGGAAAGAAGAGACTAAAATGCATCATTTCTTAATAGAATATGAGCCACCACCCATTGCTAATAAAAAATTGGTGTGATCATTAATTCTTTGTCAATTTGCAAAAGTTGCTGGATATTTTATAAATTTGTGATTATACGGAATGCTGCATTTCCAACCCATGAAGATGAATACTACTGGTTAACTAATTAATTATTTTTTCTACTTATCAGAGTGTACATTGATCGAGAACAGGAAGGTTTGTGACCCCCTAAATTTTGACAATTCACACATAACCCTTTAGCTGATCTTAAGAATGTCAGTGCTTTAGTAACCCCTTTTCAAGCTTATCAGCGGAAGGGGGAGTCTTGCTACATCGTAGGTTACTAATACTATTCATTTACAGTGGCAAATACAAAACATTAAACCCCTACACCCTTACACCCTTGTTATGAAAAGTCTTGCCAATACCCCTTTTTGTCTTTGTTTTCTTTGAACCCACATGAAGAACGAAATAATGTAGTGCTAATATAAATGAAGCAGAAATATATATAATTAGCTCGTATTGTTTCCATATCTTCATAGAAGAAAAAAAAGCTATGTGAGCATTTGGTAGAAAGGCTTATAGTGTGACTTAGCGCTAGCTTATGCATGAAATGAGGCCACTGTGACCATCATACTCAAAGATATGCAGCAGAGTCGGACAACAAGCATTATGGCACGAGAGAGAGAGAGAGAGAGAATTATTTGGTACAAATAGGGGGAGATAGAATTAAGAGAGAAAACTAAAAGGTTGAGGGAACAAGGCACGTAAACTAGGGAGAAATATAGTAGCTTTAAGAAGAAAACGTAAATCACAGTGCGCATTGTACGTTCAGGCACTGGCCAACCCATTCTATTCTTCCCCCGCCAATTGGTCCTACATATTACCCCCATCACCACCTAAAACCAGTCTAGAAAAACAAACACATTTTGAAGTATCACTAAATCTTTATTTTCTCTTTTACCATCGTTTTTCTTTATTGTGTTTGCTCGGCCATAATGCTAACTTCGTATTTGTTTATGAAAATGGACTTAATTATTGGAGTAAGGTCTAAAGTCAAAGCCCCCCACCACCCACCCACCCACCCACATTTCCAAGCGCAAAAAAATCGTAGATGGATTAATCCTAAGACTGAAACATCACCGTATGGGCCTTTTGTCTTCTTTTCGTCATTATATATCTTCGTCTAGACTTTAGCCCATAAGTTGGCCACCTCAACATAGGGAAAACACATGCAGAAAATTGGTGGAAGTCACTTGGTCAGCTCCTTTTAGTTTCGTTTCTAGAGGTTGAGTGTGAAAATTTTTGGATGGGTAATACTAAAATTTAACTTAATTTGTTTGACTTAGTTATGTAACAGTTGATATGATCCAATAGTATATACTATTTTAATTTTAATTAATGAAAGTCTTTGTTTAAAATAATATCATTTGTTATATATATCATTACACCTATAAATTAAATCAAATAAAAAGGGTATGCCTGTGTCCCTGTGTATGAGTGTGTCCCCCAAGGGTCCCCTACTTTCTTCCTCCCATTTGTATAATACTTCTGCATATACAAATAAAAAACCATTTCTTGGGGTGCCAATAATTTTGTTAAGTGGACCCACATAGCAGTATCCAGTTCCTATTAAGGCACATTTCAGCAATAGACATTTAATAAGAATGTTTCAGAATTAATGAAAGATTGGTCTGTTATTTCCATTGCCATTGAAAAGCAGTTTAATGGCATGTCCTTACACTGTTTCAAAATACTGCAACTAGGTTACCAAATATGGGTATAAATTTTGGCAGATGAATGGGAATCATGACCACCCCTGAAAACTTCCACTTCACAGCATAAACATCTTTCTAGGATGATTATTGTAAAAATTTCACATATACTCATGTTATAGATACATAATATACCTGTGTGTTTCTCATCGAAAATGAGTAAGAAATAAAGTTGAGGGAAAAAAAATAGATTGCCGCAATATATACACTAGGAATAATACTGGGTTTTTCTATTTTCATCTAGCTTCACCCTGCAACGAGGCAAAAGGGGAATACCAGTACAAGAAAATTGGAAAAACTTCTGCATATGGGCGACGGAAAGAGTACCCAATTAGTGGGCAAGTAGTATACTTTAAACTTATATACAGTGCAGTCACGCTATACTTGACATTGCAAAGGACAATAAAGCAAAAAAAAACATAAGCGGTAATGAGAGTTGCCATACTCAACTATAATATTATGTTGATTATATAAATGAACTCCTAGCCAAATAGTGTTCGTCCCAATGCATTGTTTCCCTGGTCTTCTTTGTTCCAAATAGTGTTTGTCCCAATGCCATTGCCAAGAAGTGCAGATCAACCTCCTCATATTAGTAGCAGACAACGAACAAGTGCACTACTTTGCAGATATTAAGGTTTGACATTTTTTTATTTAATTGATTCTGCAACTATATAAACTTTAACAGTATATAACTACCCACGTAAAAACAACATCAGATTTCATCACTATTGTTTTCTTGTTTGCGTTTCTGCCTTCCAGTTGTTCAATCTCATCCTCATTCAACAACCCACCTCTGGTTTTGGTCCCTTTTGTTCTTAGCTCTCTCTCTCTCTCTCTCTCTCTGCGCAACTCAGACAGTCATGTGCGCACTGAATGAATCTCGAGGAGTTGAGATTAGTGACAATATGGTCCCAAGTGATGAAGCCAACATTGAAGAAAGGAGAAAAACAAAAGAAGATAACGGCTTCCATGGACTTCTCCGACGACTGCCGGTGAATGAGGTACATATTTCTCTCTCTCAGGCACACACACTGTGCTGATAGTTTCATGTCCCGTTCTCTTCAGCACCTTTTTGTCACCAAGGTGCATGAGTAATTGTGTTTGATTCCCCATTCAAAAGACTAAACTAATAGTTTGTTACTCTTTTTATTTCTCTCTCTACGTGTGTGCGTGTCAAAAGTTTCATGCCACCGTTAGCTTTACCACTTTTTTAGCCACGAAGGTGATGAAAAAGACCAATGTTATTGAGACCATATTTAGGAATATAATGTGAGCATTTAAAGACGTGGTTTCAATGTAATCATTAGATTAATTATAAATTTTAATATTAGATGAACTTCACAACTAATCCAATATTTATACATTATTAGGTCTTCAAATTAAGTCCAAATAATATTTTTTAATGAAAAATTACAATTGATTCCTTTTGAGAAAAAATATGTGAGTGTTTTTTTCACTAAGGACAATAAGTGAGTTGATTTGGGTGAATATATCTTTCTCATTAAAAACTAGAACCAATTTGCGAAATTGGCAAAAATACTATATTATAATAGCTTAGAGCTCTCATTGAATTGTGTTTTGTGGTATCATATTTTCAAATCTAATAAGTCATGTCATTTGAAAATATATTAAACTCATACCTGACTCATTTATAAGTGTATATAATCAATTATATGTCGCGTATAAGTTGTGTTAAGCCAAATTTATATCGGTTAATAGCCTGCTAAAACTAAACTCAATTTTGTGCTGGTTTCATGCGAGATGATGGATTATGTTTCAAATTGTCAAGCCCACATTGCCCTACTCCATTAACGTATTCATGTGTGTTGTTGCCCGTTTATCTTATTGGTCTGATTACTCATGGGAGATAATTAGTAGTAGGAGAAAGCTTATGATCCGGTTCTCTTCAAAGGTTTGTTTGTGATTTGGTGATGAACCATACTTCGTTTATCACATGATGGTTAAAGATTCAGACACCCGGTTAGACCTAAGTTCAGGATTATGCTTTGGTATTTTAATTTTTGAATCAGCTTCACGAGGGACCGACCTTTTCTTTCTTCTCTTTAGTATGCTAATGTAAGTGGTGGTCTCTTAGTGTCTCTGCAGAATACGTACCATTTGTTTCATTAAAAAACCTGGATTCCCATACTATGCAATAAGTATACCCAGGTATTGGTGTTGGGTGGTGGGTCCACATGTGGAATGGCAACTTTTTAAGAGGTATATCTTGGTGTTTGATGAGTTCTCCTTAGGCTTCCCGGCCTGTTTTGTTGTTTTTTATTATTTATTTTTTTTGTTGGAAAGCTTTTTTGTATACCTGCCCCAAGAAAATGTGGGTGAGGATCTTTTAGTCCTGTTGATTAAAAAGTGTCATTTTGATACAAATAGACCGATATCATTTTAGTATAAAACGATATTGTTTTAATTAATATCATCTCTGCTATTAAAAATTAATAGCAAAATTTGTATCCAAGTGGTTGCGGAAATTTCACATTGTTTTAAAATGACAAGGAATGGATGATCAATATTGATGCTTCCTTGGGTTGACAAATAAATAATTTTGAAGTGGGTTATCTTGAATTGCTCCATCCAAGTTCTCGATACTGTTCTCAACAGGTTTACCTAACCTGAATAGTAGGCTTCTTTCTTTCCATGCTTGGACCACCTTTCTGTCTAGCAAAAGTGTCTCAAAAAGTTCCAGGTCCACAAAGCTTGAGTAAAGTCAAATGACAAAAACATAAGATAGATTAGCGAATGAGAGTCACCCGACGGTAATTTCAAATCCTTTTATATACTTAAAATAGTGTCTTATTTTAGTTTGTGACTTTACTTTAATCGATGAATGTAAGGACCACCATTTTAGGGGTGGACCTTTTAGACTTGTATTTTAGGAGGCGAACTGTTTATATTTTTTAGTTTTAATAATCACTCGACAAGTATCAAATAACAATAACAAGAAAAACCCATATATTATGAAAAACTCGATGATTGATCATATATGATAAATTTTACTTTTTGGGAGATTGAACCATCTGAGTGGGCCAAAAGTTAAATTCATATGTTACAAATAATGATGCGTTAGTGGAGGGGACCAACAGAACTAATTCCGATCGACTTTGATTTTCCAATAGCTACGAGTCAACTCCAGATGTGAGAAAGGAGGAGAATAGGTGTGTCACCCATGTACGATGGCCATTACATGTTACATAGAAACTCTAATGAATCTTTTAGTACTAGTACTACTACTTTTATTCGTGTTTGCATGGAGCTTGGGCATTAATTTGAGAATGAATGGCTTCTTGTTTTTTGTTGTTGTGTTTTGACTAAATTCTTACATTTGAAATCCATGAAGGTGGCAGAAGAGCTGCTATTGCTTGGGAAGATTGCTTGTCCAGTGGCACTAACAACCTTTATTATGTTCTCAAAGTCCACCATTTCCATGCTTTTCTTGGGACGTATGGGGAAGATTGAGTTAGCTGGAGGCTCTCTCGCAATTGGGTTTGCAAATGTCACAGGCCACTCGGTCATGAAAGGCCTATGTATGGGGATGGACCCCATTTGTTGCCAAGCCTATGGAGCCAAGAGATGGTCTGTTCTCAGCCAGACATACTTCAAAACTTTCCTTCTCCTCTTGCTAGCATCTGTACCCGTCTCACTGCTTTGGCTTAACGTTGAACCTGTCTTCTCCCTTCTAGGTCAAGATCGCATCATGACTAAAGTGGTCAAGGGTTACCTAGTTTTCTCCATTCCTGAATTGCTAGCCAATGCTCACCTCAACCCATTGCGCTCATTCTTAAGGACTCAAGGCTTAAACTCAGCAGCTACAGTAGTCGCTACTTGTTCTACAATCCTCCACCTGCCCATAAACTACCTCCTTGTGACGCATTTGAATTTAGGGGTCAGAGGCATTGCCTTAGCTTCTGTTTTGCACTCATTGAACATGAACATGGGTTTATTACTTTATGCGTTTATGTCAAAAGTTTCAATTAAACCCTGGGCTGGGGTGACATTTTTGTCCACCTTCCAGGGCTGGGGGCCATTGCTGAGTTTAGCGATCCCTAGTGTGTGTTCTGTGTGCTTGGAATGGTGGTATTATGAGATTATCCTGTTTCTGAGTGGCTTACAGAGTGATCCAGAGTCTTGTGTTGCAGCAATGGGCATCTTGATTCAAACAACAGGCTGTGTATATGTGTTTCCATTTTCTCTGAGTTTAAGCATATCACAGCGTGTTGGCCACGAGTTAGGAGCTGGCCAGCCGGCTCGTGCCGAATTGGCAGCCATGATTGGGCTCTGTATGGGAATTATTTATGGACTCTTGGCTTATGGTTTGAGCATTGCTTTAAGGTCTTTGTGGGGGAAGTTGTATACTAGTGAGCCATTGGTTCTTGCCTTAGTCTCATCGGTACTTCCACTCTTGGGGCTTGCTGAAGTAGGAAATTCACCCCAAACAGCCATCTGCGGTGTCCTCACCGGTTCTGCAAGGCCTAAAGTGGGTGTTCGGATAAATATCGCTGCGTTTTACCTCATTGGTGTGCCGTCTGCTGCTTTATTTGCATTCAAACTTAAGCTTGGTTTCTGGGGACTATGGCTGGGGCTGGTGGCTTCACAAGCTGCTTGTTCATGCATGATGGTATTCACATTACTTCAAACAGATTGGAAGGCCCAGGCTAAGAGGGCTGAGGAGCTGACTCTGGCAGCCATAGACAAGGATGATGTGGAATCCAACCTTGTCCCTTGACCCCTCTGTAACTATCTCCAGAATCAAGTTGGATTGGTTCAAGAGATAAGGGCAGTGCAATGCATATAGAAGTGTACATCATCCCCTTTTTTTTTTTTTTAATTGGTCAAGAAAATTGAGGGTCTAATGTTATCATCAACCGGATAACTGAAGAGGGGAAAAGCATTAACTTGACTACGGCACATTAATTGATTTTTAATTTTTTTTTTTTTTTAACTTAGAACTGATGGTGTAGGAAGCGCAATTCTTTTTGTTTACGGTTGAGGAACTTGTATACAATTTGTTCTTAGCGTGTACTCAAAAATACAACATTCTTCTTACCCTTGCACAGTTTGTATACAGAGTTAGTAGCCAAAATTAGAAGAAAAGAAAGGCATTGTGCGTTGATATCGAAACCTGGCCACACATACTCATCTAAATATCATGAGATGAGTTTGATCAGAGGGTGGGTATTTTTGGCCCATTCAGCCCTCTGGTGAAAATTGTGAAAATAATAGGCTTCTATTGGTATGATAGAAGCAAATTGGAGTACAAAATGCATTTGTGAATGACGCAGGCTTATGACCCAAAAAACGAAAAAATGACATAAGCTTCTATTGGCTCAGTTAACTTAGACTCGTTCAAACTACAACACAAATCAAACCTGATCAAAATTTTAAATTAGTTATGTAAGTGACCCGAATCCAAGCAACGTGTAGCTTGGCCCAAGTAGGTCCGGTTTTGCTAGGATAGGTTGTTGTTTTCTGAATAAACTTAGTTTCACTACCAACCCTTATTTGAAAAATAAACAATTTGAAACTAATTTTAAAATAGCTTCAAATTTTATGCACTTACCTTTTTCTCTCTTTTATAATAGAGTTTTGAAAAATTTAAACTTCTAGGATCTGATTTTATTGTAGGGCATTCAATTTTTAATTTTTTTTTAAAGAAATTCATGTTATATGATTAATTATTTAATTTTATTGTTAGATCTTAAAAAAATTTTACCAAGAAGTTAAGCTTGATTTCAACTTAAGATCGACTTAGAGTACTTGTGTCGAGTTGAGTTTCAACAAAAATGCAAGCTCGATAGTGGAGCTTGTCATCACAAGAGAGCTAAGTTTGAATTAAGGGTGCAACTTGAGCAAGTTAAGGGAACAACCCTAAATGTAAAATATTCAATCTTAACTCGAGATATTTAACTTGAGTCTTGCCTTGATTTCAAGCAAGCTCGAGTTGAAATCAAGTTACCTAATTCGGGTTGACAATTCAGACTTAACAAACAATAATCTTAAATTAAGTGTGAATCTTTACACAATGTTGGACTATTACATAGGCTTACATGACCCACTAAGATGAAACTCATCAAGACAACTTATTATAAGTGTAAGGATGAGCCTTCTTTATATAAGAGAGTGGGAAGAGGTCATTTGAGTTATTTATCGGATGTGGAATGATAACTCTTATCTTCTTTTCTTTTTTTTTTTTACCTTTTTTACTTATTTACTTATTCCACATCAGTCATGTATACTTTTTTCACTATCTATAGCTTTTATAAATCATATTTCATTTCCTCTTTTAAAAATAATAATAATAATTACAAAACAATTAAATATTTGTCTCAAAAACTATAACAGACATTTATTCTTGAAAATTTATAATAAAATAAATCTTTGAGTTCTCTAATCTCTTGTCTATTTGTGGACTTATTTCTCACCTTGATCTTCACCTGAAAAACATTAAATGTTTGTATAAGCACAACGAGCCGTGAATAGCAACCACCTCTAATGAGGTGTGAAAATATGTCTTACATTTTATATACAAAAATAAATTTTGATACATACATAAGCACAACAAATTGTACTCTCAACCCCTCTCACATAATCGTTTAAACAAAATGATCTCATGATCACAAATAACTTTATAAATGAAAATACATTTATAACTCAAAATGCTCCCATACACATTCAGTCTCAAACACATTTGTCATATTATGTTTGTTACCACTAACCTGATAACTAGCCCTGTCTCTTGTCACCATTAGCCTGGTAACTGGTCTCATCTCCTGTCATCACTAACCTGATGACTGACCCCTATGTGTGCATTCCTATATTGATCACACCGGTATACCTTTAATCTCGTTACCATTTAGACTTGATAACACAGTTTCCGTCTCATAAAACATGATTTTAACACACCAAAAATGTCATTTTAGTCCCATGCACACAAAATTGTTCTTTCGTCACCAAAACACATTTAAGCAATGATATAAAATCATCCCATAAATTTTCAAAATTCACATGTATAACAATTCACAATTGTAAAACATTTAATTGCAACCCAAAACATCAATACATATATCATATATATGAAAATATCTACACACATGCACTCACGTTTAATATAGAAAATTCTCTCAAAAGAAATAATAAACTACTCACCTTGATTACCAAAATTCAATTCAAAACTCTCTTTCCCAATCTCAATGAAATCACTACCTAATACAAAATAATATGTAACAATCAATTTTTATTCCTAATTTCATAATTTCGCGATTTTATATTTAATACTTGTACTTTTTACCCATTGATATATAAATTTATATCATTTACATAGATATAAAATTTTAATATGAGATAAAAGGGTATGAAAGTAGCCTGTGGAATTTAGAAAAAGCTTCTAAACTCCTAGGGTCAAATCATGATTTTTGAAACTTTTAGAGTCAAAGTGCAATTTTTCAAAAATAAATTTTTTCTGCTTGCAAGACTACTATAAAATTTTCAAAATAGTATTTAAGGATATAGAGACCAAATTTTTATAATATAACCTTACTTTAAGTTATTATGAGTAAATCATAATTTTGGGAACAAAATCAAAAAAAAATTAGGTCATTTTAGAATTTTAAAAACCTTCCAAGGCACGAGGGCTGTTTTGAAATGATAAAGTTTGTTTCAAAACTATTGGGGTCAATTCTGTAAATTTTGAACCTAAACAGTGGTCAAAATTAAATTCATAAAAATATGAGGGTTAAAATATATCTCTTTTAATCAAAAAGGGATGATTGTGTAATAAATAGATTTGCTCTTCTTCAAGGAACTCCTACAACTTTAACAATTCAACTTCATTTCTTTTTCTTTTTCAACTTGTTGCTTAAATTCAATCTAATCTCAAACAACTATACACCCAAATTCAATTTAACATTTTCAAAAATTATATATATATATATCGACACACACACACACAAATTATATATATATAGACACCCACACACACGCACTATATATTTTACATTATGAAATCTAACACCGTGATATATAATAAAATACAAATCTCATAAAATAAATAATGCATCCATATACCTTCAATGAATCCAACTCCCAATTTTTCTTTCTCCCCCCCCCCCTCTCTCTCCCCTTGTTAGTCGTCACTTTCCTTGGTTTTCTAAGGCTTCACCTATCCAAGAATACTATCATATTATAATACACATAGACTAGTCCAGATAGGTTTCATTAGAGGCAGGACTTTCTTTAAAACTTACTAGTCCCCCTATATATATATATATATATATACTCCTAGGTAGCCGAAGCATCAATTTAAAATAATTAAATTTTTAATTTTTTGTATTGGTTATTATATTTTCCCCATCTTTTAAAAATTTCGTCTTCGAAATTTACTATTACTTAGATCTTAAACAATTTCCACTACGCATTTTGACCAAAAACTTAATTCAATAATTTCTTTTTGAAATGTTAAATTAAATACCTTGATTGGGTATTACAACTCTCCCCCCTTCAAGAAGTTTGGTCCTCCAAACTTAATGTATCCCGAAGTTAGAACAATTGTGGGTAGGTTTTTATTTTTTCCATCTCCAGTTCGCTCTTCCATGTTGCTTTCTTCTCTTAATGGTTCCTCCACAAAACTTTGACAAACGGAATGACCCTGTTCCTCAATACTTGTTCCTCCCAACCCAAGATCTCTACTAGTAGCTCTTCATAGGACATGTCCCATCGCACTTGTAATGGCTCAATCTCAATTACATGTGATGGATCTGGCAAACACTTCCTGAGTGTCAATACATGGAACACTTTATGGATAACGGCTAACTCCAGTGGTAAAGCTAGCCTAAAAGTCATTACAAAAACTCTTCCAAGAATCTCAAAGAGTCCAATATACCTTGGATTCAACTTCCCTTTTAAATAAATCTCACAATCATCTTCCAAGGTGAAATTTTAGGAATATATGATCAATCTCCTCAAACCCTAAGTCACTCATTTGGTTGTTCGCATAACTTTTCTTTCTGCTCTAAACAACCTGTAATCTTACTCGAATCATTTTATCTCTCTATGCAATTATACATATCAACTCAAGTTTTAATATTTGTCTTTCCCTCGTCATATTACTCCAGCACACTGGAATCCTACACATCTTTCCATAAAGTGTCTTATAAAATGTTATACTAATATTATGATAATTCTAACTGTAAGCACTCTATTAATGACATATAAATATTCCAACAAATTTCGAATTTATAGTACACTAGTGGAAAGTATAACGCCAATGTATTATTAGTATACTTAGATTGTCTGTAAAATTGATAATGATAAACTATACTAAACTTCAAAGTGCTACACCCATCATGTTGTAAACTATGTCAAATCTAAATGTAACACTTGAATTTTCATATGTTATATTAGATAAGACATTTTACGTAATCATATACTCTCATCAAATAACTCAGAATATACCTTCAAGTTAATATATAAGTTTAATTCCCAAAAATAACCAGGTTACGTCAATCAATCAACATTAAACCAAATAGATTCACGTCCAATCTGTATTCTGAAAGTTCGTACATAAAATTTATAGTAATATCCTCTCATTTCCATTCAAAAATTAAAAGAAGTTGTAATAAACTCATCGGACACTAATATTCAGTCTTTATTTACCAATGTACTACACATTGGCTACAAATTCCACAATCTCTTTTCTCATTCCATCCAACCAATAATAGTTTCTCAATA